ATATATACGTATATATGTATATATATTTATATATATACGTATATATGTATAAATACTAAAATAAACGTAACATTGCTAATTGGCAGAATTTCATTTACTGCGGACAGGTTCGGAACCGAACCCCCGCAATAAACGAGGAATTACTGTACTCTTTTTCCTATCATCATTTTATTTTTCTACTAAATTAAACTTTGTAAGTGTACAGGTACTAGAAATATGCCAAGTCACAGCACTTTGTCCGTTAACTTTCCTTCATATTTTAATTGAACAAAAACTTACTTTTCAGCCAGGTAGCCAAAACTAGGATAAGTGTGTCTGCCAGCAGGTTGAAATGTACAGTAGCCACAGACAGGAGAGAAAGTCCTACTTCTTGGACACTTTATGAGATTTTTTTTTTAGCATTACTGAAACCTCTTATCTTCACTTCAAAAATAGTTTTTATCTTAAACCAAAAGATGCCCACTGCTCCTCTGCTAATGTACAGTATGTACTGAAATATCACCAGCTTTGAGGTGATGGTAACTATTTTACACACATCAGATTGCAAATACTGCTTATCTTTGAGAATCAGACACTTTCAGTGCTGAAATATTTACAAAAATGTGAAAATAAATCCATAATACCTCATTTAAATGTGGGCTAACTGTGCCAGCACTAGTAAGATGCTGTTTGGTGGGAGCACAGTTTAAAAATGAGAAGGGAACCTTAATTAGTGCCTGTTAAAACTGAGAAACCCATTGGTGATTCAGAGCTGATGTCTTTTAACAGAAAACATGGAGCTCAATGAAAAGGGTTGAACTCTGCAAATGTTTGACAAAAGTTATATATTTTGTTCCTTGTACTTATTGCATCAGCATTTCTCTTTTCTGTCCAAAAGGTAACAGAGTTAATTTATAAAGCAAATAAAACTTGCTTCTAGAAGAAAGAAAAAGATAATCACAAATGTTTTACTTTGTTGGGAAAACATTCAGGACCGCCTCATAAATGAAGGCATTCTTATCTCTTCTGCATTTCTCTGAAGCCGTGCATGCACTTCCACCTCAAAAAAAAAAAAAAAAAAAAGAATAAATAAAACTATTTTTGAAGCTTGTCAATGCAAAATACTGGGAGATGGAGTCCAAGTGTGGTGTGTTAGATAGAATGATTGCATCTCACCTCAGAGTCACAGTCTCACCTCATGCCTGAAAGTGAGAAAAGCCTTAAAATAAAATGAGGAAAGCAGGACTCATCTGCTTCCCTAACTTCTCTAACACCTCTGCCTGCACCCCCTGAGCCTCTCTGCACACTGAAACTAAAACAGGCTGCTTCACCTCAGCTGGTGGCTTCAGGTGACTCGGGGAGAACACAAACATACTTCAAATGGTGCGTAGTCAGGAGGCAGTTTCTCCAGCATGTCGTCAGCGAGCCTGGACACAGCTGCCTCTCTGGTCTCCCCCCCTCCTGTTGAGCTGTCTTTAGGCTGAATACTAAGGATGGTGTCCAGGACATCCTTAGCCTGCTTACTCTGAAAGGTTATGTCTGCGTTGGGGTGGAGGCCAAACACCTCTGGAGTGTCGTAGGCTGGAAGACTCTGAAAATGAGGAACAGCAACAACTTTTTCAGCAAAACACAAAACATTAAAAAACATATTAGATAGAAATTAATTATTCTTTTATTTTTCTCATTAAATGAGCAGTACAATGTCTCCTCTGAACAGCGAGAGACACCACACTGCTCTCCAATAATCTGGAACAAATTGTCTTGTGTTTTTGTCAGTTTCTGGGTGAAATCTCTTCTTCCTTTCTCTCCTGCAGTATTTTTCTGCCTAATGTTGACTGGTGCATCTTCTCAGGTACACATGAAAACACCAGCTGCTTTTTGTCATTTCCACTGAAGATCATGAGGGTGTAACACATCAGTGAGTCACACTGTTCCTCCTGCATGTCCCTGAACAACTTGTTAACATGCTGGTGAAGTAACAGGATCACTTCCAAGTTTCCCGCAAACACGACCAAATGTGATGAGTTGGTGCCCAACCAAGCTCCAGTTCCAAGTGGATGAATAAAAACATGCAAGGACCTTTATCATCACTGGTCTTTTTTTTTTTTTTACATGAGGCCAATTATTAACAGCTTTTGCTGCATCTTCTATAATAACTTGAGGTTATGCTAAAGCTTTTTCTACAGAGCAGAACTGACTGTGCTTTCTGGTAGCAATCAATACTCATTTTCCAGCTGGCCTCATAGGATAAATGGCTTAACCACGTAAAGGTATGCCCTTGCTGATTTAGCCATTAATTAGGAGGCAAAAAATAAATCTTTTGAAAAACACAGGCTTGCCAACAGGCTTTGTCTGACTGCACAACTGCTGATCCACCAGGAGTTAAATGCCTGATGACGTTAAAAATGAAATGAAAGTTAAAACTATTTAGATTTGGTTTAGGAACAACATAATTTTTAAATAAATACAGGTAAAGCCATATGTTTTATTGAAGGCTGATATTGTGTCCTGCTGTGATAATGATGAAGATAGTACTGATTTAAATGAGTTCATTTGATGATGAGCTAAGTTTCATTGCTAGGAGTAATGTCAGGGGAGTCAGTTTACAACATGTTCTGTTCTGTCAGGCCTCTCTTCTACTTTATTAAGATTAACAAATAACGTTGTGGTTTTTAGAACTAACTGAATACATAAAAAAAAAGTTTAATCTAACTGCAATTTAAACTATTTCTACCTGAGAATTGAATTTGGGGATAAACCCTTCCATTTGTGCTCAGAAAATTTCAGCTTTTTTCATTCCTGTTTAAGTTTTCTTTGTAACTAGCTCCTGCTATTGGATGGATGGATGGATGGATGGATGGATGGGTGGATGGGTGGATGGATGGATGGATGGATGGATAGATGATGGCTGGATGATGGATGGACAGCTGGATGATAGCTGGATGGATGATGGATGATGAATGGCTCATGGATGGAACATGGATGGCTGGATGGATGATGGATGGATAGATGGATGATAGATAGATGGATGAATGGATGGATGGATTATGGTTGGGTGGATGGATGATGGATGGATGGATGATGGATGGATGATGGCTGGATGATGGATGGACAGCTGAATGATAGCTGGATGGATGATGGATGATGAATGGATCATGGATGGAACATGGATGGCTGGATGGATGATGGATGGAGCAATGGACAATATATAGATGAATGAATGGATGGACGGATTGTGGCTGGGTGGATGGATGATGGATGGATGGATGGATGATGAATGAATGATGGATGATGGATGCATGATGGATGGATGATGGATGATAGATGTATGAATGGATGGATTACGGCTGGGTGGATGGATGGATGATGGACAGATTATGGATGGATTGTGGATGGATTATGAATGGATGATGAATGGATGGATGGATGATGGACAGATGATGAACTGATGGATGGATGATGAATGGATGGATGATGGATGAATGGATGGATGAATGAATGATGGATGGACGGATGGATGAATAATGGAAGGGTGGATGGATGATGGATGGATGGACTTCATTCTATGATTTCAGTCAAACTTCTGCAGAAATGTTAATCAATACTAAGAAAAATGGGACATAAAGAATAAAAGGTTGTTTTTGTCTTCACATGGAATTTCACCTTTGTTTCTGTCTCTCTGACAGTTTTTACACACGCACGCACGCACGCACGCACACACACACACACACACACACACACACACACACTTTGTTCTGCTGTGCTTCATATCTTCAAAATAAATGTTAACACATCTGTGTCTGACAGAGAGAGACAGAAGAGGTTGTTAGCCAAATGTAGTGTGTGTTATAAAATGTTGTGTTTGAGTGTGTCTGTATTTTCTCCAAGGCTATTTGTCATTCTCTGTTTGAGAAGGAGCTCAGAGGAACAAACTCGTTGAGCTGGCAGTCTTGAGTATCCATCTCAGTGAAACTAGCTTTAATGAAACTGATCCCCGACACACAGAGACACTACTTAGATACACAAACACACTAAATAAAAAACACTAATAATCCAGAACAAAATGCATCGATTTGATCTAAAACCAGACATGGAGGCCTACAACTTAGAATATTACAATAAAGTGCTTCAGTGTTATTTAAAAAAGCTTTTAGTGATATATTTCATGTTTAAAAAAAAGTGAAATCATGTCATCTGGACTGATTCTTCTTGGAAGAAACATTTCGTGATTAATTTGCCTGGATGATTGAGCTTATATCAGGACTATATTTCATGTCACTACAAGCTCACAGTGTAAACAAGCTGTATGCTGATGTCCCCCGTAACGGAGAGATTGAAATACTGAATGTTTGTGTTTTTTTCCAACTGTGCAATGGAGGAGCTAGGAGTTGGCCATTGGTGTCTTTGGCCACTGTATATTAAACTTTGACCACCCCACTTAATTGAGGAAACTATATATTTAAGCAATTTAAAAAATCTACAAAGCATTTGTTTTCACAAATATATATATACATAAACCAGACACCTCTATCATTTGTGAAAACAAATGCTTTGTAGATATATATATATATATATATATATATATATGTATATGGAGGTGGCCATCTTGGATTTTGACATTGCAACCCAAGTTTTGATATAACCTTTCTTACACTTAGATGCAGCCATACACCAAAATAAAAGTCAGCACCTCAATTATTTTTCAAGTTATCATACTCACAGATGGACAAACAGACGGAGGGAGGATATTTCAAATTCCCCCTCCGCTCCATGACGGGGGACAAAAAGAGCCACACATCAGAGTCTAAGGTGTCATATGTTTACACCCCCTGATCATTTCCTCCAGCAGAATTACCTGGATATAGGTCAGATACTGGTCGACAATGGAGCACTTGGGGATGCTGTAGCCCTTGTAGAAGTTAAAGGCTGGACCAAACATGTCCTCACTGAACCACACCTTAGCAAAGGTGTTGAGGAGGCGCTTGTCATAGTCGTCAGTCACACGACCACCGTACTGGATCTCTCCGATCATGTATCGCACTGTGCTCCATGACACACCCTGAAAAAACACATGAAACCATTCTAGGTGACAGAAAATACCGTATTTTCCAGACTTTAAGTTGCACTTTTTTTCATAGTTTGGCCAATCCTGCGACGTATAGTCCGAAGCAACTTATATACGTTTTTTTCCCCCTATATTCATGATGCAATTTTTGACTGATGCGTGAAATGTTCATTCTTACTGACATGAACCAAAGAGTAAACATTACCATTTGCAGTCACGAGAGGGCACTCTAGGCTTTTGACAACCATATGTTGTTCCTCTACCGCTAACATCCCACCCCCCCATCTTCCTCCAGAGTTGGGAGTTCTTAAGAAGCGGCATCAGTGTTGCCAGGTGTACAATAATTATCGTATTTTGCGACAATGTTGCCCTCTGTACGATGTACGATCAGTAATCCCAAAAAAGGCCAAATATATGATCATTTGACCATTCCGTGAATGTGTGGTTGTAATCGGTTGTCATCAGCCGGTCGCAACTGCCTGTCGGAGTTTTTTTGTGAACCCTGAAGGCATCTGTGTCCGCAAACAGATGCACGATTGGCTGGAAATTCCAGCCAATCGTGCTTTTCTAAATGTTACCTATGAGTGACGTGTTTTCGTTTGCCTCAGAACAACAGCCATGATTGGCTGAATAGTCCGTTGCGCCCGCCCCGTGAGTGAGGAAAAGAAAAAAAAAAAGAAGAAGAAGCAGAGCCAGTCTGGAAGCGGACCCATCACTACTATAGTACATCAATAGATTTGTTATTTTGGTTATGACGGGTGTACGATAATTTCCTTCAAAATACAATTATTTTATGTCTCTAGTACGATAATCCTACATTTTTCACCTGGCAACACTGAGCGACATAGACGGTGAAGAATTCAATGGATTCAGTGATGTAGAATGAGACTGGTGAATTTACTGGTAACTTGCTTGTCGGATTCGTTGGCTTGTTATGTTAATTAAGCCTGTTCAGGATCCCAGGTATGTTTTCAAAAAGCGTTCAGTACAAAAACAACTGGACTTTATTTGTAACAGAAGACGTTTTGCTCCTCATCCGAGGAGCTTTTCAGGTATGTTCTGTGTGTTACTGTTAATTCAGATTAAATGTGTGTTCTCTTTCTTTTCTTTGTGAAATACACATCTAAATAAATGTAACTTGGCAGGGACCAATGGCAGGGACCACTGCAGACATGTTCCTGTTTTTAGTTTTCTACATTCGCCTTAGAATCTAGCTGGGTTTTTTTTTTTTGTTGTTGTTACCTTTCCCTTTTAGCCATCCTATTTGTAAAAAAAAAACAAACAAAAAAAAACTGCAGTATGACTTTTTATAATTGTTTATTGTTGTTGCTGTTGTCCATCGTTGTCATCTTTCTTTGTTGAAATCAGGTCTCTCTTGTAAATGAGTCCTCGAGGCTCAATGGGATTTACCTGTCTAAATAAAGGTTGAATGAAAAACAAAACCCTTATACTCAGAAGCGACTTGTATGTTTTTTTCCTCTTCATGAGGCATATTTGACTAATGCGAACTACACTCCGAAGCAACGTATAATCCGGAAAATACGTTATGTCGAACATGAGGTGTTGTACATCGCTAATTGATGTGTGAAAGGGGCTGCTGAAGGATAAATCAAATTACAACAAATATAAATAAAAAAAATCATTGTTTTGTAGAAACGGTCTGTGCTGACTGCTTGGAGTGGAAAATAAGAAGGTGACAACATAAAAACCAACATAAGCCAGTGTTAGCTTTGCAGTACAACCAGTCACGACAGGAAGCTATAACTGAACAATCCCTTCAGCCTTTGCTGTGTTAATTGATTGTTGCCATGTGGCAAACCGTTTGCAGATAATTAACCTCTAACAGGTGGAGGCCCGCGGGCCCCATTGACTTACATTTGAATGCAGAGCCTAACAGGAAAGTGTTAATATAGAGTGAGTCATTTGTTTTTTAACACTGGTACTGCTCAAACCTCATCTTATTCTTGACAACTGACCACCCCCATGATCAAAGCTCCAGGCAATATTGCCAGTGTTCACAAATACTCAAGTCTTTGCTCTGGAGTCAAGTGATTGTTGAAGAAAAAACTAACATCAGGAGTTTAATGTGGTGTCATGAAACCCTTTGTGAGTGCATCATCTTCCTGTGAGCATACATTCACTTCTTAATTTACATTTAAAGTTATATATCCCTTGTTTGTTTATTTAGGATTCAGAAGCAACCTTCCGCATCAGTTAAGATAAAATAAAGTTTTGTTTTGTTAGCAGAAACATGGTTAAATCCAGGTGGTGGTTTTATTTTTGCATAGGACCTGACCCAAACGTGCGCTTCCTCCTCTACCTTTTTGATGTCCATGTCATCGAGGTGGTTCTGAACAAACTGGACCGTTGCGTTGAAGTCGGCCTGGTTGAACTCATAGGGGATGTTCCATCCCAGAGGGCCGTATTTCCTCCTCTCCTGTACCGTGCTGTGGAGAAATGCTACAGCATAGAGCATGGGCTTCCACTGGACCATGTTACTGACATCCAGAAGGTCCTGGTTTATACCTGTTGATGAAAAAATAAACACATAAGCAGCTTGTTTCTCTGAGTTAAATCTACAAGGAAATTAAAACATTTTCAGATAAACAAAGGTGGTTGGGAACAAATCCCTATGAAGATTGCTTTTCAGTGACCATTATGATTTAATGACATTTAGATGTGCCAAACACAAATCTTTAAATTAAAATTCCTCTAATCTGATGATAAAATGTGTTTGCTTGTTGCAGTCAGGACCGAGGAACGGAAGATAAGCGCACAGAGACTTGGCTGCCCTTCAGGAACAAAGCTCCGTCCTGTTCCTGATAATGCAGGAATAAAACAGGCAGCTGCTTCTTGCATATTAAGTCTTCTCTTCCTACCTGTTTCAGTTCTGAATAAAAACATTAACTATGTGTTTCTGAAATGTCACAAAATGTCCTGAATTAAGCAAGAAGAAGGCGTCTCTCCTGCATTTCCATCTCTTAGCTGCTTTTCCCCTCAGGACCTGAGGATCTGTATGTCTGCAACAACAGGTCCACTGTTTACAAATGCACACATGAAAAATAATCAGACACATCATTCTGCATATTAATTGCTCTATTACGCACTCTGCTGACATTGTACTTTATTTACAAAATATTTATTCCTGTTGGTGTTTTCAGGCAAGATCATTTAACAGCTGAGGACTGATGATGGCTCCACTTCACCTGACAATTTACGATCTTTAATTTGTGCTTTAAACTAGACGGCACTCATCCTCACCTCCATAGGTCCTCTTAAGCCCCGCCTTCAGACCCTGAGGCGGTTCGTTGGTGAACTTGATGGACATTTGCAGAAGCGTGATGGGGAAGTGTTTGTGGACTTCGGTCGTCATCCAAAGACGGAAGCTGTCGTTGACAAAGTCTGTTTCTGTCACCGTGTCCATTAGTTCGTCCATGAAGTCCAGACCCAGGTGGCAGTTCTGGAGTAAGGCCCAGCCTCCCTGCGAACAGACAGTAGCATCAGCTGCTTCAGCTGTCGTTTTAAACTATGAACTTTAGCACCATTATTTCACATCATGAACTCACATTAGCCATCGTCTGCTGCAACAGTTTGCGAGCATGGACCTCCTGTCCTTGTCCCATGGACACATATCGGGTCTCGGTCTTGAGCTTCTTCCCCAGCGCGATGATGGAGTCAGTTGGATCGGATCCCATTGAAAGGAAGCAGATCAGAGGTGTCCGTGGGTCGGATTCCTCCCACATCTTCTCCAAGTCAAGAATCACCCCTTCAGCGTACTTCTCCCCCATTGATCTCATTACGTATTTACGAGCCTGGGAGGGAAAAAACAATCAAAACTGATGTTTCATAATTCAAGGGAGAAGATACGTTCAGTGTTGTAGGAAAACAAAACTAAAATCATTTACTTTTTATGAGTTGCTGACAGAGAATATATTAAGATATGTTTTGAAACTGGTTTTGTGTCAGTCAACTGTAAAAGTTTGGTTCAGACATGAACAACTTTAGACAGTGAAGTCTTGTTTGCAGTGAACCCAAAGACCTTTTAAATAAGTTCATTAAACACTTTAAGAAAACGGTTTGAAAGCTCAATCATCCAGGTAGATAAATCACAATCGTCATCTGGACAGTTTCTTTTTGGGAGAAACGCTTCGTCTTTCATCTGAAAGTCTTCATCAGTCTGAAGCCTGCCAACCCAGATCTGTCATAAATACAATAATAGTAATAATATGTGTAAACACTTTAAGGTTTTACATTCAGTATGTTTTAAAGATAATTTAAGCATGTAATAATTCAAAAAGACAATAAGACCTGTGGATTAAAATCATTTCAAAATGTTCTTTGTTCAAGTCTCATTATCACAATAAATTTATTATCTTCATACATTTCTGTAACATTTGTTTTAAATAATCAACTAAACATTTTATTAACATATTTTTGATTTAATAGTGTATTGAACAGCCTGACTAAGAAAATTATAAATTAAAAACCAATAATAATAATAATCTCATACGTCAGTTACTGAAATCGTTAGGCCTGGGCTTCTCAAAGGTTTTGGGTCTGAGAGGAACATTTCCAGGGACGCCCTCATAAAACTTGTGCAGATTATAATTAATTTACTGACATTTTAATACCATGGGAATCTTTGTTTAAGTATGTTTGTTTACTGGTGCATGCCCATGTGTATTTATGCACATTTTTAAATGATGTGACATATCTAATAATTTATTGAAGTTTATTTTGTTGACGCCCAAGCTTTAGCTCAAAGACCCCAGTTTGGGAATCTCTGAGTTGCATCATCACTCAGCAGCAGTCTGATCTCTGCCATATCATTTGTATTGGTTTGCTTCTCCTTCCTCACATTTAATGGGTTTTATTTGGGCCAAATTCTTAAAATAAAAGACATTTTTATTCATAAACGTTTTGTTTTTGTTGATGGAACACTAAAAAACACGAAATGCCCATTAACAGCAGCTCTTTAAGACTACATTTAATATTGTGGTCATGTTCAAATCATTCTCCCAGCTCCTGCAGAGTGCATGATGGACCTGCTGAAAAATAAAAACAACTTGGCATATCCCAACACTTTTAATTAGTGTAGGCATTAAATTTATATAGTGACTGATAAAATGATCAAGAACGAGAAAGTAAACAAGCGGTACGCCGATGTCCCTCGTCGCTCAGGGGGAGTGAATGTTTATCGTTTTCGAATAGAGTCAGTTTTAATTTTTGTCCCTTCTTTTTCTTGTCTGAGGCAGCGCAGTGTGATGGATCTGGTGCAGCAGGAGGTGGATAATGGTGGCCACCCCAATCATTTGAGGAAACTTTACTTTTAAGCAAAATAAAAACTAGACAGCATGGTTGCCTCAAATGATACGGGTGGTCGGTTTACACACGTGAGTTATTCTGTTTAAGTTACAGATACAGCCTCATTAGGTGTAAAGTTCACAGAAAATATAAAACCCACTCATAAAACTGTTCATTTGAATGTATTTGTGAACAACTCTGGTTTACTAAAATATTGTAACTAATTAAATTCATTCCACTGTTCTATGAGTTACATAGATTATATGCAGCTAAAATATAAGAAACTGTATTCAGATTCTGAATTGATTCAGAAATCTGACACAAAATGTGTAAAGAAAACCTGGATTTGACAACCTGACCTGACCAGCTGGTCAAGAACAGTTTTCACCTGTGCGGTGGTCCTGTCGGGACACCAGCAGCGGATGAGAAGCAGCTGTCTGAAACAGTCCAGACTCTGGTTGTAGTCGTTTGGAATCACTTCCTCCTCCGGGGCTTCTTTATCAAACCACAACTTCCACTGTTTCTCATTGCGACTTATCTGGAAGAGAAACATTTAATCAAAATATGATTAATCATGTGTAATACACTGCATTGAATCAATAATCATGCCATTAAGGAAACTAACACACTAAACACACTAAAATTATCTGCCATATCAATGATCTAAAAGGCTTCAGAAATAAACTAAACCAACAAAACAAGTGGTATGCTGATGTCTCTCGTCTCTGAGGGATTTGAACAGTTAATGTTTGTAGTTTTTGAGATGCGTGTTCTCTGGACTGGAATTGAACAGGGAATGTAAATAAACCTTAATGTTTTTGATACAAGATATTCAAGTGTGTAGGAGTTACACTGTGGAGAAGAACAGAGGAATGCATTTTATTTTTTTGCTTGTCTAAGGCAGCACAGAGTGATGGATTCTGGCGAGTGGAGGGACCAATTTGATTCATGACCAGGTGCAATGGAGGAGCCAGGGAACAGGTGGCCAATGGTGGCCTTAAACACAGATTAAACTTTGGCTGCTTCAACAGCCACCCCAATCATTTGAGGAAACTATACTTTTAAGCAATATAAAACTAGACAACAATTTCCTCAAATTACTTTATTATTTATATTTATTATTTTTATGACTTTATTGACTATTCTTTCCACAAACTGCATTCAGTCTTCAGGTTTTAAAAAAAAATGTTAAAAAATATGTTGCAAACAGCTCTTCCAAAATTAACACAAAAATAAAAACTGCATTTGGACAATATTCTCTTGATCAAAGAACAGTGTTTGCGCACGCTCATCATATGTCTCAGCTGAAGTCAATGACTGTAAGTTTTACCAAACTGCTCTTATTTCACACAGCTCAGTTTGCTCCATCATGGGAGCCACAGTGCTGTCAGTCACTTGTGGTGTGTGCACGCTTGTGACAGTTCATGATCAGCCTGAGCCTTTGTGTTAAAGAAAGAAGTGAGTGAGCCATGATGGGACTGATATTTACATGCTTAGTAGAGCAAAGGGGAAGGAGTGAGAAATGTTTCAGAAGCACCTGCAGATCCCAGCTGTGTGAGTTTGTGTGGAACAGATGAGATCTGCTAACTGCAGTTTAATAGATAAAAGTCATCAAGCAAAATCTTCTGAGCTACAGAAAAGTATTGCTGTATACCTGCCAGATACCTAATCTGAGCTGTGCAAGATTTATGTGTGTGTGATGTACCTGATTCAGTATATCAGAGAATTGCCACAGTTTGCTGAGCTCCACAAGGTTGAGCCAGGTCATGTCCAGGATCCACTTGGAAGGTTTCTGGGGGCAGGTTTTTAGGTCCAGAGATGCACCTCCTGGTCAGTTCAAAACACACACACATCAACAAACACCTGCATGTTAACACACACACACACACACACTCTTATACACAGTGTGATATTGTCACAGACAGTTGTGATGGGTTTTATTTTTTGTGTATGGATCGGAGTGTTGTGTTTTCAAGTGTGATTTGCGACGAGGCGTCGGTGCGTTGGTTCAACGCTCACTATACTCCAGCTAAAGGAAAGTGCTCGTTTCTTCTTTTGGGTGTGGGTGTACATTGTGTTATTTGGGAATTATTGGCCTCATAGACCCCAATTTTTGTTTCATTATAGAGCACCTGGTGGAGGAGGCTTGTAACATTGATGTGCAGACATCCCCCGACAAAGGAACAACTTTACTTCCTGGTTTGATGGCTTGGAAAGTTGCTACTGATCTTCACCACATGTGGATGAGAAAGTACTCTTTGCTCGTAGTGTCTAGTTCTCTCCTCCTGCTAGTGCAGGGTGTGAAGCGACTTGCTGCCAACTGCTCTCTGAACATTGTGAACTGGGCTCCGCGACATAATTGGGACTGTTACTGTGAAAAATCTGTCTTTTATGCACAACCATCCTTTGCAGGTTTAAGCCTCTTCAGATATATTTTCATCATTTAAATCACTGCATTTTAGATGGCATTTAATTTGTTTTTATTTTCAAGGACAAATAAAAATTTTAAATTTGTAATTTTTGTCTCCACTCTTATGTTTGTGTGACAAAAAAGTTGAACCTAATTCATTAATAAAGGCAACTTTATTCTACACCTCCTCCTACAGGTGTGCAGTGGAGAGCATCCTGTGCTCCAGCATCAACATGTGGCATGGAAGCTGCACAGCTGCAGCAAGAAAAGCTTTACAGAGAGTGGTGAAGGCTGCACAGAAGTTAGCCTCCCCACCATCACAGACAATTACACCTCTAGATGCAAGAAGAGGGCCACCTGCATCATGAAGGACCCCACTCACCCAGCACACACAGTTTTTGCCCCGCTCCCCCCAGGAAGGAGGTTAAGGAGCATTAAGTGTAGAACCACTAAACTGAGGAACAGCTTCTACCCTGAGGCTGTTAGACTCATTAATATATAACCAGGATAATCACTGTGAAAAACCACATCATGTTGCTGCTGATCTGTTTCATGTTGCTGCTGATCTGTTTCATGTTGCTGTGTTCATTCATGCTCATCTGCTCACACAGACTCATGTCCGTGCTGCTGTTCAGCGTATTGGTTTTATGCTATTAGTGCTTAGTGTATTTTTAGTTGATGTTTGTCTTAGTTCATATCTTAGATCTTATTACAGCTTTTCTTTTACATTTTATTGTGGGATGTAACTGGGACTCTGTGTACACAATCTCATTCCACCACATGTGGTGCAAATGACAATAAAGAAAACTCTGACTCTCTGAACTTGAGGCTGCAACAATACCAAATAATAAAACATTTTTACACACAAAATCAAAATGTTGAGGAGCAAAAGTAGATATTGAATAATTCCAGACAGAAGTCATGAGTGTTGTGTTGAGCAGGCCGAACCTAACAGATGGTAAAGCTGCATGCGTGTAGCTAAAAGTCTGTTCTGCCTTCGCTGACTTTTATCCCTGCAGTGAGGAGCACGACATATCTGTGATGTTTCTGAGCTGCTACTGTGCCAACATGTAAGAATATGTGTATAAACACATGCTGCTTTGGAAGAAATCTACTAACAAAGAAGCTGATGCAGAGCATATGCATCATAGTTGGTTTTATTGTAAATATAATTGTTGTTCTCTGTAAGAAGTTAATTATTCCATGCTGTTTTCAGTATTTGAAATCATAACAGCATTCTGTCTAGTGAAGGTTTAAAACCAGCATGTCAAAGTTCAAGCACATAAAAAGTTCCATAAGTATTCACTGAATTTAAACAGAGCACTGAAAAATCTAACCTGGCAAACTCCCATCAGTATCATACCTTTAATGAGTGTGTGAAACTCCTCGTGTTTGACGTTGTTGCTCTGCATGTCGATCTTCAGTGTCAGCAGCAAAGTGAAGAGAAACTTGTGCTCCTCATATAGACCCCGTGCAGCATATTTATGCACCTCAAAGGTCATAAACTCTATGATGCTGGCAATCCGTTTGCTGGTGATGGGACTTTGAGAAGATCTGTTCAGACAGAATATTATTGTATTTACCATCATTAAAGTCCCCAGGTACAGTGTTACAGCATTTTTATCTCAATTTCCTTCACAGCAGCAGAGCAGGGTTTAAACGGTTTTACCTTGGTGTGACTACAAAGAGAAATGGAGTAGGGGTGGTCCTGAAGGAGGAGTTAGCAAATAATGTAGTACAGTACAGGTGAAAAGAGAGTCAGATAGGGTGACGTGTCTAAAGGAAGAAGTAGAAGGTCAGATGCTAGATGTGGTCAGTGGTTATGCTCCACAAGTTGGATGTGATGTGGAGGAGCGATACATTTTGGAAGGATCTGGATGAAGTGAGAGAGAGTCTTCCCAGGGAGGAAAGAGTAGTGATCAGAGCAGACCTGAATAGACATGTTGGTGAAGGAAACAGAGGGGATGAGAAGTGTTGGGTAGGTTTGGTGTCAAAGAAAGAAACCAGGAAGAAGAGATGGTGGTGGTACTTGGTATGTTATCTGGACAGAGAAAAGATAAGGAAATCTGGTGGTGGAATAGTGAAGTGCAGGAAGCTATTCAAAGAAAGCGGTTAGCCAAAAAGAAACCCTGACAGTGAGAGGACTGAAGAGAGGAGGCAGGAATATAAGGAAATGCAATGTAGAGCAAAGAGAGAGGTAGTAAAGGCAAAGCACAAGGTGTATGATGAGTTGTATGGGAGGCTGGATACTAAAGAGGGCGAGAAGAACTTGTACCGTTTGGCGAGACAGAGGGATCAGGCTGGAAAGGATCTGCAACAGATTATGCTTATTAAATATTGAAATGGTAATGTTCTAACAAGTGAGGAGGGCATAATGGGAAGATCCAAGGAGTACTTTGAGGAGCTAATGAATGAAGAAAAAGAACAGAAAAGAGTAGAGGTCATAGAAACTGTGAACCAGGAAGTGGGAAAGAGTGAGGGTGAAGTCTGGAAGGCTCTGAAAATAAAGAAGAAGAGGAAGGCTGTAGGAACTGATGACATACCATTGGAGGTTTGAAAATGTCTTGGAGAAATGGTAGTGAGGTTTGTGACTCAAAAAGTCAATGGCATATTTGAGGGTGCGAAAATGAGATGAACACGATGAAGATCTGGGAGAGAGCTGTGGAAGCTGTACTTGTTATATGAGAGCTCAAAGCACAAATTAATCCTTCAGATAAGGCTGGCAGCTTTACCATGGCCGAAACTGCTGCCGATGTCTTCCTAATTTGTTGATATCCTAGATACCCGCTGATTCCAAAAAGCAGACGTTACATGATGCTGACAGACACTGTATCATCTTATCAGAACTTTGGAACTTTCTGGAGTGTCTACGGATAACTCACTGCCTTTGTCGACCTCTATGAGTAAATGTATTATGACGTCGTTGTATGTTGCTGCTTTATGTTGTGCAAGGTCTTTTGAAATTTTTTTTTTCATCTTTCACACTTCTTCCCAGCCAGGACATGGTGTGAAACATGATTTTTTTTTTTTACTTCCTTCCATTCTCTTTTTCTCATCTGCCTGTATATTGTATGCAACAGGTCTCTCTTGTAAATGAGTCTTCAAGGCTCAGTGGGAACTAACCTGTATAAATAAAGATCAAATAATAATAATAACTAGATTTATCACCCTGCAAACTGCAAGAAGTGACTACTAATGACAACATAAAAAAATAGATTCACTAACAAACATAACATTCTCTTTAAATTCACAAACCAATTTGTTTAAAGTTCCTGATTGTTACAGAAAGCTTTAACAACTACATTCAGTACATTCTGGGGAGTCTGATGAGCTCATCTGTTTTTTTTTTGTTTTGTTTTTTTTGGATAACAGCATTGTATTAAACTTTGTAATTTACAACAGTAACTGAATGTTTCTTTGTACCTCTGCTAGCTGCATTCAAGACAACCAGAATTTGATGACATTTGTAAAAGCAGTGTAGAAACAGCCCTGTTGGCAGTATTTTATTTTATATATTAAAAAGATCAAATTTTATAAATACAACTAAATGACCAGCAAAACTAGATTTATTCCCAAACCTACACAGCTGCTTTACTGGTCTAATAGCATTGTGCATCTGTGATTTGGTGTGAATCTGTTCATCTTTACATCTTTATTACATAATTTTAAGGTTGGTAATTTGGCAGAATAAGCAATGTCCATCCATCCATCCATTTTCTTTGCCCGCTTATTCCATTTTGGGTCACGGGGGTCGCTGGTGCCCATGTCCAGCAATCACTGTGCGAGGGGCGGGGTACACCCTGGACGGGTCGCAAGTCCATCACAGGGACACATAGAGACAAACGAGACAAACAAACATTCACTCTCTCACTCACACCTAGGGACAATTTAGAGTTACCAATCAGCCTAACATGCATGTTTTTGGACTGTGGGAGGAAACCGGAGTACCCGGAGAAAACCCACGCATGCACGGAGAGAACATGCAAACTCCACCCAGAAAGGCCCCTGGACCGGGGTTTGAACCAGGGACCTGCTCGCTGAGAGGCAGCAGCTCTACCAGTTGCGCCACCGTGCTGCCTAGAATAAGCAATGTATGAATAAAAAAATTATTGATAGTTGTTAAGGAGCCAGTTTTAAATTATACATTTCTAAATTCTAATTCAGATTTAGTTATTTAGAAAGACTAAGACTAAGTACACAATTTCGGTCCACCTCATGTACCGCATGTGATGTGAATGACAATAAAGAACCTTGAAACTTGAAGTACTGAGAAAGTTGCATAGACTATTATTTTGATGACAAAACTAAATGTGTAAACATGCACAATTATTAATATTAATTACAAAAGTGCCAATAATTAAAAAACAAACAAATTTTGGTCAAACTAAGTCAATTATTGTTACTGTTATACATTGACAATATTAATGTCAAACGCACCGAACAAGGGAAAGGTCAAAAAGTCCCAGAAACTGCCTGAGTGAGGTCTGATACATGACGTTGACCATACTCATCTCTGTGATCAGGAAATACAGGATGCTGCCTCTGGTGGCCACTGAAAAGACAGAAACACAAAATGTGAGCTAAAACAAAAATAAGTACCGTACTTTTCGCTGTATAAGTTGCACCTTTTTGCATAAATTAGCAAGCCCTGAGACTTATTTATGTTTTTTTTTTCTCCCATATTTATAACCCAATTTTGGCTGAGATCTGATGATTTCATTCATTCTGGCATGGAAAACCCTGAACATTTCCGTTTTCAGCCGCTAGAAGGTGCTCAAGTAATATGGCAAGCCAAGTGTCTCATTAATATGTAAAAGTGGCTATTAATGAGACACTTGGCTTGCCGTACAAACCAACTTCGTCTCGCTCCCGAACTCCTGGAGCAAACGTCAAATCAGCTACATTTCGCCGCGTTGCCCAGGCGAAATGTAGCTGATTTGACCGGTAAAGTGCATTTATTAAGGAAAAGTTCCACTGAGACACCTTTGCTATAATGTTGAGCAAACAAATAATTGTTTTTAAGTGTTAATCTTGTTAAATTCTTGTTAAAGTTCTCCCGTGCACACTCCCGCAGCCACCATTTGGCAGCCAATCGATTTCTGGCACAACACCGGCCCACATTTCCGGGTGGTCAGCGGTGACGCATAACAAACATGTCGCGTCCGCAGTGGTGCATAATAGATGTGACTTATTCTGCAAAGCATCATATTTATGTATTTTTCCACTTTATTAGACATAGTTGGACTGATGTGATTTATACGGCAGTGCGACATGTACGGCAGAAAGTACCGTAAAACTACTTCTTGCATTTCTGAGTGGAACAAAATTCACGACTCAAGCAATAAATAAAAACAGATTTTTACACAGATGGCCTGTAGTTTGGCACAGACGGACAGATTTAATGAGCATGTTTGTCACTGCTTGACAAAATTTAAAAAAATATTATGTTGAAATATTTATTTGACCATAAAAGCAGTGTTGTGAATCTTCAGCTGAAACAAACATTTGATAATGAACTCAAGTAAATAAAAAGTGAGCTAAGTCTGAGTCGCTGTCAGAAGCTTACCAGGTCGGTATTCCTCTCTGGCAGAGTTGATCTGGACCTCGGTCTCTGCAGCAGTCTGGAGTTTCTGGATGACCTCCTCAGCTGTTTGCTTTGTGTTGCTCAGAACCAAAATCAGACTCTCGTCATCCACAAGTGAACCCTACAAGAAAACATCACAATATGAAACTTCAGAACATCTGTCCACCCGTTCTCTCTTTCCAGTGGTCCAGTAGTGACCGTGCAAGAAGTGAGGTACATCCTGGACAGACAGTTCATGTTTCTGTGATTCTGCCATTTGTGATGCTCTCTTTGTGAAGAGTCGCTGCACATATATAAGATGTAAAAACCTTGATCTGAATTTTAATCAGCTGCTTCACACTAATTAAATTCCCTTCCATACCCATACATGTAGCTGAGGTTTTCTGTTAGCGATTGGATGAATGACAGTCGGAGACGTGTTTTCTTGCCTGTGTGCTGGTCAGTCTGTACAGCAGGTTGTCCTCAAGCTCCTTCATTTTTCTCTTGTTATACGTCACGTCCTCAAAGAGGTCTGTCCTCTCCTTCTCCATCTCCTAAAGCCACAAAAACAGACAAAAACAAGTTCATATACATCCAGCATGAATTATAAATCTTATAAATGTGGTCATTAAGAACATTGGTTACTGTACATTGATGTTTTACACTAAGAATGTGCAACATAAAACAGGTGTGCCAATCACCACAATTAGATGTATTTTAAATTAACTGCATTGCTTCTATATCTAGATAAAAAATGCTGTATTAACGTCTTTTTTTTCTGAGCTTGATGACGAGTTTTTAAAAATATTTATTTAATAATAGGCACAGAGTTGTTTTTAAGGAGCAATAAACCCACCTGGAGTGAAGTAATTAATTAAAAAAGTTTAAAAGTAAATGTTAAATTTTACATCACCACAGTAAAACGCTGTAAAAGTTGGACACTGAGAATTAAATGAGACACAATTTTCAATAAAACTCAGTCAAGTGTGATAAATAAAAAATAAATCTATATCTTTGTTAAACGATGTGTTTAATTTATATTCTTTACAATAATTTAACTGAGAAAATTAATGTTGTTAAATGAATAAATTGACTTTAGATGTGAAGGAACAAACTACTGACAAGGTAAAATTGTGATAAAACGTTGTGAGTTGAGCAGCTTCGAATGTTATCAGCCCAGTAAATGGCCGTTATTAGTTGTTATCATCCCCATATTTAGCGGTCAAACTGTCCCACCTATCTCCAAGTAGGTTTAAAGGTACATTATTATCGTTATTATTGCTGATAATAGGCAGCGTTGCACGGGAGTAAACCAGGAAGTATCTTTTTTTTTTTTTATTCCAGCTTATGTAATAACCCTTTTCCTAAACATAAGCATACACCTGACCCAGTGGACCAACCCTAAACTTAACCCCCTTACCCTTGTGCCTAAACCTAACCAAAACCATAAACCTAACCGCCAGACCCTTTACTTTAAACCTAACCACGTGAAGCTATTATGAGCACTAACAAAGCTAAAAACAGAGCCTATTATCATCGCTAAAAACGTACCTTTAAACCCACTAGGAGGTACAGGAGGGGCAGTCTGACCGCTACATATGGAGATGATAACAACTAATAACGGCCATTTAATTTAATCAAATTACTCAATAATGTTGCTGAATGTATAGTTTTGTGTAAAAGGCTTTATATTTTACACTCAGTGAGTCTTTTTATCCAAACTTCTCCAGGCTTTGTGATGTTTTTTTTGTAGGACTTTACAGAAAAAAATGTGTTTTATTTTATGCTTTGAGCCAATTTACATACTTAACATTCTGCCACAGAGGGAACCTAAACTCAAGAAATTAGTGAGAATTTTGTTTACTAAAAAAGACAATTTAGCAAAAACTAGATTTTTAGCAGCTTGTCATAAAAATACGTTTAGTTTTTGTATTTGAATGCAAACAATGCCAAAAGATGACGTAGCAGCAAATAAACATCTAAACGAGAAGGAAAACGTCCATCAAGGGTCTGACATGAGACGTTCAGGTAATCCTTGTGTTGATTGCTAAACGCTCTTCAGAACTGGTCTTCATGGCAGCTGCCTGTCAGAAAGCTCCTCCTAAACAAGGAAACTGAAAAATGTCTGAGCCTCGTTAAGTTACACTAAAACAGATTAAAAGTCCTGGTGGAAAAAGTTTGAGTGGTGAATCCATGCCATGGAAATCTGCTTTACCAGAACAAACCTGCATGGTCTTGAAGCTGTCTTCTAAAGTTTTATTATGTTTGGGCAAAAGGAACTGAAGTAAACCATTTGTTGGTGGTTTGCTGAGTCAGATCAGAAAAGTTCAGGTTGTTTTGCAGGTGGTTTCAAAGAAAAGTTTAAACAAAGAGGGAATAAATGGAGGTGTTCCACTGTGTCCCTGAACAGCAATTGACTACGATCATCTGGCTATCACAGAAAAGGGTACAGTTTGTTGCTTTAATTTAACCAGTGGTACGAGAAACTCAGTGCTTTATGGTCGTCTGTTGTTGTCTACTGTTTTTATCATTCTTTGTAAAAAACAAAAACAAAAAAACAACAGGTATCTCTAGTAAATGAGTCCCTGAGGCTCAATGAGACTCAGCTGTATAAATAAAGGTTGAATAAATGTCAGAACGTAAATAATGGGGGGTGGGGGTGGGGGGGTCTGGGTGTCCTCCCCCAGAAAATGTTGAATAAAGTAGATACCATTTCCTGCATTCTGGTGTACTGTAACGGTTGTTAAACATCTACGTTTACCTACATTTGTAAACACTTGATTCAGTAACTATTTTAAAGAGCAACAAGAAATAGCCTGACCAACAGCTCTCCTTGTGTGAATAGAGCACGCACCACTTCTCTTAAGCATTCTAACACCCCCCGCCCACCCCTGTGTGTTGAGTACTATCTCCATTGCCAACACCTTCATGTGCTTCAATTCTCAGTTGTTTAGTTATACAATGACAAGATTTTTTTTTTTTAATAAAAGTAAATTGAACTGTCTTTTCGACATTTTGATCGCTGTTATTTTGACAAACATCCTGATGCATGCTCAATAATCCAGGTAGAAAAATCTAAAAAAGTTAAATCTGGTCCTCTGGACATTCAAAAAATCCCAAAACAAAGCAAAACAACAAAAAATGTAGAAACGTTTCGTCTCTCGTCCGAGAGACTTCTTCAGTCTGAGGTGCTGTTTTCAGCTCAGTCTCTTAAATAGCACCTTCTCAGAGTGGATCAACCAGTTTTGCTGCTGACAACCAAAACCAGCTGATCACATGCTCAAGAAGGACCATCAGCCTAACAATGGATCATTAGCACACTGATGGCTGTGTACTATTCACATGGAGGAGGTAGAAAAGAGAGCCTTGACGTCCTTTTCAGGGACAACACCAAGTCATTGGTTCAGGTATGTTGACGACACCTGGGTTAAAATTAAATCTCAGGAAGTCCAACATTTTACTGACCACATCAACTCTGTGGATAAATACATCAAGTTCACACGAGAAGATGAAAAAAATGGCAAGTTGGCTTTCTTGGACTGTGAGGTCTCAGTCTCTGATAGAGGACATTTGCAAACTGAGGTATACCGCAAACCCACCCACACAGACCAGTATTTGCAGTTTGACTCCCATCACCCTTTGGAGCACAAGTTAGGAGTCATCAGGACTCTGTATCACAGAGCAGACAGCATCCCCACTAGCTCAGGAGCCAGGCAGAAGGAGAAATCCCACACAAGACAGGCTCTAGAGCAATGTGGATATCCTAACTGTGTAAGGATCCAGCCCTGCACCCTGCCTTTCTCTCTCCTCATCACTCCTAATTGGCTCCAGCTGCAGATGATCAGCTCAACACCCAGGAGGAGTATAAGAAGATTCAGGAAC